GTTAATTTCATAATTACACAAGTTGACGCACATATTAGGCACAACGCACCATCTTTTCGCATATATATATATGATCATAAAAAATATATATCCACTTGCGCGATAAAATAAAAGAGACTCACTGTATATACGAGAAAAAAAAAGAAATAGAAAAAAAAAAGGAAACTATTACAATGTCAAAGAAAAATATGTTGTTATTTAAAATTTTAATCCTTTTTTGTTTACAATAATTGTTGTTTCAGAAGAGACAATTAAAAAGTGCTATAAAAACAAAAAAATGTTTTATAGATTTTATCTATATGGTAAATAATCAAATTTACTTTCTTTGACTCTAATATGTATCTAAACTTTTAGAAAACATAAACCGTGCATCATTTTTCGAACACATAGATAGTGTTTATATTGACTTAAATTCATCAGTGTGACAAGTAATTTCAGAATTTTAAGATAAAAATCGTAGAGAAGATTGTAAAGAAAATTTAGATATTTTTTTTTAATTTAGATTCGAATGTACTTAATTATAGCATAAGGAAATTGATGTTTCATTTTCTATTCAGTTTTCGATAATAATCAGCCATGATTAGATAGATAATTAGTGATAATTCATGAAATAGTCTGTTGAGTACAGGATAGAATTTATCTCTAGCGCAACGCAGAAAAATATATGACACTAGAAAATGAAGATTACGTGTCGACGTCATAATCCATGATCTTGGTACTGTTTTTTTTTTTCATTAGAAATTATTTATTTCGTCTTCTTCTCTCTTCAATTCTCTTACATAAATCTCCTTTACTGTGATCCAGACAATTCATAATGTTAATGTAACATTTTTCTGTTGTATTTGTTCACATAGTCATTCTCACACTTCATTATTTGGTTATATATTATATTGTTCGATTGGTAAGTCAAAAATGTCATTGTACAGACATGAAGGTATGCATTTAAACAATATGACTAAAAACAATAAGAATTAAGAAAAAACAGAAAAAAGAAAGAAGAAAAACGAGATAGAAGATTGATTGATTGATTGATTTTGTATTCTCGAATATACTGATATACAAAATATTAAGTGATTGTTTAAAATGATGCTAAGGTGTATCCTAGAAAAAAAAAAGAAACATATTTGTTATCGAGTTAAAAGTGCGTAGATCATGCTGTTTATTTTTGTTTTAAATTATCGTATATTTCAGAAAATAAAATAATCTGTAAGTTTTGTCAATATCAATGAAAAAATTGGTAATCTTCCTGAAAAATCAACTCAGATCAGGCTAGATCGTGAGAGCAGCTGTATATTTTTCATTTAATAAACCACTTTTATTTCTAAAGAAATAATGAGGACTTTTTGACTTCAGAATGACAACACGCATTTCTTGTTATTTATTTAAAAAAACTCGAAATGATTTTTTGTAAAAAAAAGAAAATTTCTTTTAAATCCTCTTTGGGGTTTAGAGGACTTTTTTTCATAAAGTTCAGGGTTTAAAATCTCAATTCTAAATCCTTATAAGTTTTCTATCCAATTACTACTAAACCTAAAAAGATTTAACAACACCTGGGCAGAATTATGTCGATTTTGTAATATACGCTATTTTTTAGAGAGTAGTTAAGTAGTAATAAGGAGAGAAATTAAATAAAACTTCATCTTAGATGTCTGTTTTGTACCAGACTTGAACAATTGTGATACTACTTAATCAGCAAGAATAAAAACATTTGACATTTCTTATTTCTACGAGTTGCATGCTTTCCAAATTTTGCATAAATGTACGCTGAGTTTTCATTTCATGTTTGATCTATATGCATAAGGTGTAAAAAAAAAAACTGCATTCCTTTTATCTTTGAACAAAGAATTTTTATATTTTTGAATGTGATCTATTATTTCATCAGATCTTTCTTCAAACTTTTCTCCTTTATTATTCTTTTTCTCTTACTTACAAAGGTCCCCCTATCCTGATTTCTCTTTACACAAGAAGAATTTTGTCTTTTTCTGTTCATGTTTTTTAAAAAAATATCTAAAAATAAGATTTGAACTATAAATGCATATATTTAATCTACTATAGATAATTCTATTTTGTATAAAAGAAAAAACTAAAGATCACTTGATGTGAAAGTCTAATTATTTCTTTTGACAACATGTTAAATACAAAAAATTGAGATTATACAGCACAGGGTGGTAAGAAGGATCGAGAGAAAGAGCGAGAAACGGGAGATTAAAAAATAGTCAGTAAGAATCCAATTATCACTCTGGTGATTAAATCTTTAGAATCTTTATTATTATAGTAAGAAAAAAAATCTTTTAGTTTTTTTTCTATCGCACTTTTCTAACTAAACGTTCTTTTTTATTTTATTCTATATAGCTTGTATGTTTCTTTTTTATCTGACTGCAGTTTACAAAGAAGCTCAATTTACTTCATCGTATTTTAAATATCTAACAGCTTTAGACAATCAAAAAAGTCAGATCTATAGACTGCAGATCACTTACGACATCTATCTCTTATTCATAGGTAGTAAAGTATAATGTCACAATTTACTAATTTTATATTCTTTAAAAGTTTTCTTTTTTAGATGTCAATTGAACTATTGACGTTTTAGATCGTTCAATTTCTTTAACAAAAATATAATTTTTATATGGATAATATATCATTACAAAAACAAGTCGAAACATTACGACAACAGCTGAAAATTGACAGAGTGCCACTATCACGATCGCTGATGGAGTAAGTTAAAAATTAAATTGATCGTTGATTAAAAAATAGAATAATTTGTTATAAATGAGAAAAAGAAAAAATAATTTTTTTTTAGACATTACAAAGTTTGATAGATTATCCATTATAGTTTCCATAAGATATCAGAAGAGCTGTTTTGAATTTTTATATACATATAAAAATGTGTATGTTTATTCTATGTAAATTAATATTTTATAAAAGTATAGAAAAGATATAACTTGTACAGTCTTCTTTTCATGATGAATGTGGATTATGCGTACATTTCCATTTGCTCTGATTGGTGAAAATTTCTAACATCGAGTGAAATTTATGCAAGTTTCTTACGTATTTTGAGGTTTCGCAATATTCTTCTACAAATTGAAACCGTTCTCGTCTATATTCTTAAAAATGGTTACCAATTTTCTCCTCAGATAATTATCTACAATGTCATGTGCAATCATGTATACAATATTTTTTCTTTTCTTCATTAAATTTTTTAATGTTTTATATTAAAAACACCAACTATAAACTACTAAATCTTTGTCTTCAAATTGATACATAGATAGATGTGTCATCCATTTTGCTTTTCTACAACGTAAGAGTATTTCACCACGCACAATCTTATCTTCATCACCATCAAACATCACATCCAGTATTTTCCTTTTTTTTGCCATCATAAAAAAAGAGAACTGAAAGTAGACTCGTCGATAGATGCTATTCTCTACACTAAAATTTAGGAAACGAAGAAACGCGCAACAACTGAACATATCTTCTTTTTTTTTGTATAGTACGCAGGAAAACGAGAAAATATTCTTCTTATTCTGATTCCTTCCTTAATAAACAGTAATCATCATTCGATGAGGAAAAAACAAAAAAGAAAGAAAGGACTTTTTCTGCAAAAAAAAGAAGAAGAGAACGAACCCGGAATAATACTATCTATATGCGCGCGTAGAAGAGAAAAAACGATCTCGTCCGTCAGTGAGTGTATTTTATTTTATTATCATTACTATTATTATTATTAGTAGTAGTAGTATGTACCAGCACTCTTCTCCCTTTTTTTCCTTGCAAGAAAGGACTTATATTGTGCGAAAGAAGGAAACTTTTTTATTATAAGAAAAAGAAAATTACACAAAGTCGATGAGAGAAAAAAAAACATTCTGTACAACGTTTCTGCTACTAGAAGTCGAGTGTATACAGGTCCCACTTTAACTAGTTCATTTTGAGAACCAAGAAAAAAAATATATAAAAAAAAAAACGTGTGACTTTAGCATTTTTTTAAAGCCAGAACCGACGTATTTGATAGAAGAAGAAGAAGAAGAAGAGAGAAAGAGAGGACGCATCAATTATATGATCGCGTACTTTTTTGTTTACTACAGTACGTGTATACATATGTACAAATAACAGTCGACACACTCAACGCACACAAATGTTTTTTAACTGAAGAAATTATTATTATTTTCAAGAATAAACGTGATTTTCTTTTTCTTCAAAAATATATTATTAAGACTCATCATAAGTATAATGGATAAAGGTTCATTACAAAAACAAATTGATTCATTGAGATATCAACTACGAGTGGAAAAAGTACCACTATCGAAAACATTACAAGAGTAAGTGAACTTGTTTTATGTCGTTTGAACAAGTGAGTTTTAAATAAATATAAGGTGCTGGAAATTCGAAAATTCAACATCTTTTTATTTTGCATTTTTATACATGGTTAGATAAAGCTCGTCCATCTGGAGAAGAAAATATGTGTTTTAATGTTTGAAAAAAGTTTTTTCATATCGAAAAACTGAAAAAATTCAAAGGATCTAAAATGTTGAAAAACTCTTCAGTTTCAAAAAAAACTCACATTCTTTGTCGTGCTTTTAACATTTTGAAAGTAGTTTTTTCACATTCAGCATCGAAAACCGAGTATGAAAATGATGCTTGATCAAGGTTGAAGTCAAAGATCTATCCAGTATGGACGCCTTGAACTTCCCTTGTGAAAAGTTCCTAAACTATATTTGCAAACCTATCTAACATAATAATTAGTTATTTTTGTGAAGAGATGGAGTTGATTCTTTTGCTTCATTATAACCACCATTGAACACACTTTAAAAGTGTAAATCCCTTTTTTTTATTTTGTTTCATCACTAAGAAAATTCATTTTTACTAGAACAGGAGCAAAAAAATTGAAATTCTGTCCATAATTCACGGTACTGCCCACCAGAAGTCACTTTTTATACAGTAAAAATATCATCTTCGGAGCGCCAAAGACTGAGTCGAATGATATATATTTCAAGACGTTGATTTTCATTTTTTTGGTGAAAACCTTAGCTTTTCGACGTGTAAATTCGAAAAATAACAAAAGCGGTCGAAAAGGTTGAAAAAAATACATCATTCGACTCAGTTTTTGGCGCTGGTTCCGAAGATGATATTTTTATTGTATAAAAAATGACTTCTGGTGGGCAGTACCGTGAATTATGGACAGAATTTCAATTTTTTCGCTCCTGATCTAGTAAAAATGAATTTTCTTAGTGACGAAACAAAATAAGAAAAAGAGATTTACACTTTTAAAGCGCGTTCAATGGTGTTTATAATGAAGTAAAAAAATTGGCTTCAACTTAAGTCATCCCTAATTGGCTTTGTGAGATCAAACAATGTCAACGGTAATATCAAAAGTGAGACTGAGCAATTAGGGACGAATCGAGAGTTAAAGGCTCAATCTCAAAAATAGTCTGGCACTTAGAATCAGTCACAATCTCGAACAATACTTTTAAATATAACATGTGTATAATTTGATCTATACTTTCTGTACCGATCATCGTTCTCTCACATTCTGTGAAGTATTGACGATAGAGTGTCGGCAATCAATTCAGACAACGAAGCAAAAAAATAAAATTTTCTAAATAAACGAAAGCTAGGTTTCTAAGATTCTAATAGTCAGAAAAGACAAAATCAAAAAATATATCGGAGCAGAAACGATCATAGTTGATGTTAATTGAAAGAAAATGTGTATGATCTTCATATATATGTCAGATAGCAGAGTAAACATGTTAAGTCTAATCAGCTGTCATATTCAAACAAGTATTTAATTTTAAGTACTGAGTTTATGGAGTTAAGATAAAATACCAACATGTTTCTTAGATATTACACGCGTACTCCTGGCGGGCCCGACTAACAATCATTACACAATCACGTAACTCCTGTTTTTTATTTTAGGTTGAAACGATATATTCAAGAAAATGAACAGGCCGATCCATTAATTCATCCACCAGATAAAAAAAGTAATCCATGGGCGGAAAAAAGTAAATGTGTGGTATTATGATTTTTTTTTCTCAACCAACATCATCAGCAGACAATGACATAACAGCAACGTTTTCCGAATGTGAATGATGAATTTTGTCGTTTGTTTATTATTGTTATTCTATTCTCTCATTCGTTTTATCTCCTCTATGCATATATTTTTCGAAGTACCGTGTGCATGATTTCGTATCTGTTCCCCGCCCAATTTCCGATGACTTAAAAAGTGCCTGATTTTACGCGTGTTCAATAATTTGCATTTACCACACAGACGTTTTTGGCTACAATTTTATTTCTGTTGGCTAAAACACATGTCTACGCTGATCTCAACGCTTACAGTATTAATTTAATTTGGACTCCCCCCGCTACACGGTCAGATTGTGTTTCAAAAGCAATGTCCTTTTCATTTTTTCTCGAATGATCCATAGATGAATTTTTTTCTAAAAGTATATAGTCAAGATTTTTATTTGTATTTAGTATTTTTTTTTACTTTTTTGTTTGTGTGCATATATATATATATATACATATATATATATATATTCTTGTAGAAAAAAGAAAGTCACTGCGTAAACGCTCTATATGTGTACGTGTATGTTTACAAATAAACAAAAAAATTTTTTTTCTCATATCCGTAATGTTATGGTTCAAATGTAGATGACTTGTAAAAAACGTGTACACTAAGAGAATGAAACGCTACGTGTCTCGTTTGATAGAGCACTCCTATAACATCAATGATAACTGAGATCAAAGTTATATTTAGGCATTAGGTACAATCTTTTGTTTTTTTGACATCCA